ATGCATGATTATAGGAGACTGACCAATCAGCACACAGCAAGAACTCAGTGCTCAAGTGAAATCCAGGTCCGTTTAATTGAAATGGTAATTTACAATTCCTGAAGTAGCTCAAAGTGTCCTCCCTGACATGGATTATCTGGTCACCCTAATTGAGCGTAGTTTTTAAATACAGTGACGAGCTACACGCAGCTTGTACCTAAAGCAGGTTACTTGACCTCAGTTACACCAGTATAATATTCATCAGTATGAACTGGTTATGATATGCTGGGGGAAATGTTATACATCTCACCTCGTTTTCAAGGTTATAACGTAAATCAGTGAGCGGGCACGTCGTACTAAAAACATCATTTGAAATGTGACGTATAGAGTAAATTCAACTCGACTTTGTGAGGGTTCCGGTCCGCCCCAGCGTTCTGCATAGTGTACTATCACGGCGAACCGCACGGTGGTGCCGCTTTGTTACTTTGGGCAGCTTGGCACACCTAGAAAGTTATTTCTGATTATATCTATTTCCTTTTTTTCTGGTTTTTTTCGTTATCAACATCCATCCTTCGATAGGTATTGTTAAGATTTCCTATGTGACATTTGTGGACCCATAATCGCGCTTAATAATTTACCGTTTTCCTCTTAAGTTTTCGTGCAAATCGACGTGGGAAACAGCGAAGAATGGGAGTCACGAGTTGAGGCTTTTCGGGACTTATAATTTTTTAATCTGATGTTAATCTGAGCAAGGAAAATAATTAGACTACACTAGGCTACCTCAGAAAAAAAAAATAGAAAAGACCTATTTTATGTTCCATGTGTACTTTCTGTGCATTCCGCCAGGCAATCTTTTTTTACGATGAACATTATTCACTGATAGCCAAATAACATCATAATGCTTTTATTTTTGTTGGCATTATCCTGTTTACCACCAACCTATTATTCTTGATTCCCCCCATGTTTAACACTTTTCCATCTACACTCTTGTATATTTCATTACATTTGTTTGGTAGACAGGTATATGTTCAAAGCTTGTACAACATGTACTATTTTGATAATCGTAAACTATTCAATTATTCGAACTCGATGAACTCATTCAGACGCTTATAGTTATATTATTAATGAGAAAGGATCTACAGTTTGTGGAAAAACATGAAGTGGGGTTTTTAAGGCATATTAATGCCTAATCCAGGAATTAATAGGATATAACAAGGGAATCGGTGCTGGCTTCACTCGGATCCAGGAATCTTTGAAATTGTAAATGAAACTGACTGCTTTGGCACCATCCTGGAATTTGTAATCTGTCTGCTGCTCTGGGCATCAACATGGAAGATATCACCAGTCTTAAGAGTTGACTGTTTGTCTTATTTCAAAATAACTACGGGAAGCGTTTGTCTTTGCACTCTGCTGCCCTTTACCATTTCAGGTTCGGAATTAACGCTTCAAAAGTAAACCTGCTTGAAAATGAATCGCGCAAAGCGTGACACGAGTCTGCTTAAAGGATTATGTGAATTTCATCTATTTTTTTCTGTTTAAATACAAAATAAGTACAGGAACTAATAGGTACGGTCCCTGTGAACGACCCTGCGTTAATAACGCTTTGATTAAGATTTTTTTAACGAAATAACCTCTGAATAAGCACCTTTCTGGAAAGCCTCCTACATTAGAGCTTATATTTTGCCACCTTAGGTCAGTGACTAATGTTTGAATCTGAGGGTTATTAAGGGGTAGAGGTTTCTGTAAAATGCTGGTTACTTTCTGCCATCTTTGGTGCCACTGATTAGAGAGCTGGTGCAGCTTAACCACAATAGACAGCTGTGATTTTCCGGTGTTTCATTTTTTATTTTATTTTTTTGCAAAAATCTCTTTATCACAATGCCATAATCATGAAGGATCAGCGAATGTTCAGCGATCAGCAAATGTTCAGGTTTTGCATTTTGGATTACAGTGGAAGAGCAGCTTGTTCCTTTATATGACATGTTCGTGCTGGACCAGGAACCATGGAAAGTGATGAAAAACAAACACATCTGGACCCTTATCCAGGACTGTGGTGGAGTTTAAGGCCGGAGGGGAGAAACTGGGGCTCGTACCTGATGGAGTTTATGCTAAAGAATGGACTGAGGCAGGGCCCACCTGGAGGGGCCGGATATTTCACCCCCACCCTGCTTCACAAGCCTTTTATCTAAGTTGGGGGGTGGGGGGTGCCAGTGTTCACTTAGAGACTGGAGGGGGGATTTTGAATAACTTTGAAACACATTCACACTGAAAGCAATTTAAAGTCACCAATTTGCAGAATCAACGTGGATTGTAGGCGGAACCTTTAAACCGACAACCGGGGGAATGTCTAGCTAGGGCTTGACTCTTTTTTTTTTTTTTTTTTTTTTTGAATAAAGGTTGGCATAGGGGCTGAAATGCCTGGGGCTTGGGGCTCGGCTTAAAATACATGGGGCTGCAGCCCCAAGTTATGGGACCTAACGACACCCAGACCCACAACCCGCCGGTGACAAAGCAGCAATGCTAGTCCTGTTAACCGATAATGTTCAAACAAAATGTATCCACTTCTTTGTTGCAGCCTTACAGTGTCAAATACAGCTGCAGCAGAGGTTACAGATGTTGCCTTTCTTCTCAAGCAGCAAGTTGGACAGATTATGAACAAATCATACCAGCTAAACGTCCTCTGAAAGTCATTCTATTTGAAAGAGGTGAGGATTCATGGTGGGAAAAGCTCCTTCGTCACATGTCATTTATCTGAAGTCATCAGGATCAGTCTTAAATAAATTAGAAACTCTTTTATGTATTTATAATGTTTGTCTAATGCATCTGACAAGTGTGAGGTAATACTGTACAGAGATCCCAGGCATAGCCACAGACTGGCCAGATGTTTATGACAGCAGCATAATAAATATTATTCTAATGGTTTAATCCTGAATTTTATATTCCAGACTGCCGTGTGTCACGTGACATGCCCTGGCACTATTCTGAGGCAGCTGGAGCTGGCGCTGTGTCACCACTGAAGCTGTGTCATCTCAGTGTCCTTGGGGGATCCATGGGTTCATCTGCAGTCCCTAAGGACCTCTGTTTAAAAGATGTGGCTCAGACCAATGGCATGCTCCGGGATGACAACATTATCCAATCAGAGACAGCAATAGAGGAATGGAGGCTTTAAAACCCATGGTGGGCGGGGCTACCTGTCCTGCCAATCACTCTCTGATTCAACCCAAAAGGAAGCTATAATGTAGCTGATAAAGTATACCAGTGAGTGATTGACAGCACACAGCAATGCCACACACTATGGACTCCCATTACTGATTAGAGTTCTTTACTAGACTTGGCTACAAACAGGTAGAAATGAAGAAACACTTTGATCATCAGTGGGACTTAAGGTGCATTAATGTGGCTTTTCACACTTAACCCCATATCTAGATTTATTACAGGAAAAGGCAGGTGGTGTGCAGACAACTTGCTTTAAATCAGGGCTATGCAACTCGCAGTCCTCGAGGTCCGAGCAGTGCTGGTTTTCCAGCCTTCCTTTACCTGAGAGTCAGGTGTGAAGCCTCTGGCCAATCAGAATCAGTAATTATTAAACAACTACCTGGGAGAACTTAAGACACGGCCTGGATTTAGAATCCAGATCCAGAGTGGAATAGCCCTGCTTGAAATGATGCTGTAAAATGGCTCACTCACTGCGACTGGAGGATATGCCCAGCTTTCACAGCAGGTCCATACAGTCACCTATGGCATCACCAAACCTTCCTATATCCATTTGTTGTATGTTTCAGTCACAGTCATATCTGCATATAACCTTATCACACCATGTTGGGGTTGCTTTTATTTGTAATTAACATACAGACCAGGGGTACTCAATTATTTTTCACTGGGGTGCGAATTTCATCAGGCACACAATCCCAAGCTGTGCTGTGGGAGATTTTCCCTTGGTAAATATCACCAACGGGTGGGTGGGTCAGGGGGGACATTTCACTGACCTGGAGGGAGGGGGGTTTCAATCACACAGTCTGGATTACATCGTGTTTTGGCCTGGATGCAGACTATAGTCCGCCATTCAAGTCCCTTGATCGCGACCCAGGATTGTCTTGAAAAGCAATGCGACGTTACGGTCAATGACAATAATAACTGGAATGTAAATTAGATGTATATTTAGGCCAGTCAAAGACATGCAGGATACGGCTGAACTGACACCAAACACATAAATCCCAAAACCCTGCAGTGAATACGTGAGCTCAGCTAATGGGGAAAGTGGTTCTGCCGTTTCGGCTTCTGCCAACAGCTACAAATGTCCCATCAGAGAAATCTCAACCGAGCGGCGATAAGGTCATAGGATCCTTAACTTTCTAGATTCTACTCGTCTAATGTTTTCATTAAGCTGAATCTGAAAGAAGCATGGAAGGCTAGACTTATTTTTAAAAAATTAAAAAAAGAAGATAAACAGTGTCTTGGAACAGCCATTACAAAGTGCAACCAAAGTGCAGGAACAATAAGCTGGGGTCTGAGTGTTGGGCTATTTTTACATCCAGAGAAGGTCCCACCAAAGCGGTCTGAACCGAAACAGGGTGTAGGGAGACTGGCTGACCTCAGGCGAAATGCTGTGCTGAGTGAGGTACTGGGGTCAGAGTTGTACTAAGCGTGTTATGCTTAGCTTCTACATATTAGGAGGAGAACTGCAAGCTGACGAGGAACACAACGAGCATGAATTCGCCAAGTGTTGCTTCTTCTCTAAGGGTGAGCGTGTAAGCGTGCGTGTAGATCTACGTGCCTGCATCTATGTGAGTTACACCACATGTGCGCCTGTGTCTGACCTTGTCCACCTGTTGACTGTCATCAGTGCTCCGGCTAATGCCTCAGTGCTGCTGTGGTTCACCCTGTCACTGTGTTAATTGCTACAGCTGTGCGAGAATGAGTGAGGCCCTGTCTGTGTTATGTAATGCGGTAGATTTGTTCCTCACTGGTCAGTGCGCATTCCAGCTCCTCGGAGTCTCCTGCACTTTGGCTTATGGAAAATCTGATGCATGTTAGCCTTGTGCATTAGACTTTCTTGGTCTTGCGTGCACCATTCTGTCCCCGGTCCGTTTCCCCTTTGTGGTGACAGGAAGGGCCAGGCTGGGTGTTACCTCCAAACTAAGTAACACTTGATTGATGGGTGGGACAACATTTGCAGCTTAATTGCACAGTGGCAACTTGCAAAGTTGTTGCCCAGTCCCGCTACAGCTTTACACCCGAAGAGAACACCATCCCAGTGGGTAATGATATCGCATGGTCCAGATGCACTGGAGAGTGGGAAATAGTTTATCAAAAGGAAAATGGTTTCTCTTGCACATCTTTCTCTGCTAGGATGGTTTCCCATGTGGAGGATTATATATAGATATGTAATCTTTTCATACATTGGAAGGATGTATACATGTTAAAATATTTCTATTATTTGGTTAACTTTACATGAGTAGTGTAAAGAAACAAAGAAATAAAAGTCTAAAGTTTTTTGTTTTTTTTTTAATGCACACACACACACACAAACGTGCGAAATATGATGTGATTTTACTTGAGGGTTGTCCAGTTCTCCGTTTTCCCGACTAATCATTCGACCATTGCCGTTAATTCCCTTGTTGTGATATGAACAAGGCAAACCCTTACAGTCAGGGATGAAAGTGGAATTTTGAATTTTAGCTTTTATCGTCATAAATCATATCTGTTCAAGAGATCCCTTATTCAAAAGGGGGAAATAAACACATCAGACAAAGTTAGCGAAAAGAAGCTATTCTCCTCCCCTTTACTTCCCCCGTCCCTCCTCTGCGCCTTTTCTTTTTTCCGAGGCGCGCACGCCGCTTGTCTCCAGAGTCGCGCTGTTTCTTATCCGTACGCGCACTTTGCCAGACGCGCTGTGCCCGCACGGTGCCGCCGCTCGGCTGCCTTCCTCGGGGGTCTCATCCAAGTTCAGATCTGCTCCGAGCCCGATCATCTGAAGGACTCCACCGCTTCTCCCTCGGAGATCCGGGTCAGCCAAGGGCGTCGGAGGAGGCAGCAGGGAAACAGTGAACTGCCGTCCGCGGCGCTGGATTAATTGCGGGACGCCGTGAAAAAAACTGACTTGAGTGACAGTGAAGTGATTCCGAATTTCCACCACAAATGCAGCCATATAACTTTACGAAGCTTTTGCTCCAGCCTAGTCCACGCGCATGTTTTCGTTCCGTGAGTTATCGCTGTTATTATTAAACGGAAATGTTGCCAGTTATTTTCCTGAATTGATATAAATTAGGAGAACACTTACTACCGTACTGTGATCAATTAGACTACCGGATGCAACTTTACTTTCTAAGGTAACTGTTTAATTAATCAAGATTAGAAGAATGCCGTGAGGAAGAAAACTCTTTCTAAGATGCTTGCCGAAGGGCATTTTAGACGCCACTTTAATGCAGTGCTGTGTGATTTTAATCAGGCAAGCGACGTGTTTTTTAGGTAGTTTTAAATGATGGTTTCCAAAACTTGAGGACTGCCCGTCGCCGTTCTTGGCATTTCAGGGTTAAGTACGTCAGTACATATGACAAAAACACTTTAACAGTTCGTTTGCGAACTAATAATAGCGAGATTATTACCTTCATTGACACTGGCTATGTCGGCCAGCCCGTCTAATAACGGCGGTCTCAGGATGCTTGTTCCGCCGGCCCCCGGCGACGAGCGCCAGATTGAGTTCGTTGCCCTGACTGCCGTCCACACGGAGCGGAGCGAGCCGTCCACCCCGGAGCGCGGACACCCGTGCCAGCGGACCGGGCTGCTTGGAACCCCGCTGCCAGGGCCGCCCGGACCCCGGACGAGCGCGTCCGCCTCCAGCAAGCGGTGCAGAAAGTTGCAGAACTACCTGTACAACGTGCTGGAGCGGCCGCGGGGATGGGCCTTCGTCTACCACGCGTTCATGTGAGTATGATAACCGCTGGCATCATTCATCTTAATGCACCTGGAATACAGTCCTTTACAGTGCCAAAGCGAAGGGGATTCTCTAGGTAAATGTATTATTTAGAAGGCGGGATCTTTCCCAAAGTTAAAGCTGTCTGGCGTTCCTCGGGTGCACATGAAAGCATCCGGCGCTGGGTCGCATGGAGACTTTAAATAGGTTTCCCATAATAATGTTGCTGTGAACAGCTCCGGAAGCTAGCAGTAGCCGGTAACATTTTTATGAAAAAGTGGTTTTGTGATAATTCACCGTCCGTGTCAGTTTATCTGCCGCCCTACAACTCGGACGCGCGTTAAACGCGTTGCACCCCGACGCTTTTTACGCCCGAGCGTGTCACCCGGAACCGGGCTGCTTCTGGCGATCGGGGGCTTAAGCGCCCACCGGCCGGCTCCGCCGAAGTGCGGGCGGCCTTTGAAAAGGCTTGACAACTGGCCTGAACGCTACGCTTCGGTCTTCAGATGCCACTCGTGCTGGACAGATAACGCGCACGGCGGCTGCGGGACTGTCCGCGGCGCGCAGCAAAATGCGGGCATGTGCCATGCCAGCGACAATGACAGTTATAGTTAAAATATGTTTACCTCACTGATGCGACTCACCGATTCGGCTCTATATAGTCCAGAGTACCGAAACAGTTTATAAAAATAGAGAACCGCTTAACTGTCACACTTAAGAATAGCCTATGTGAGTCGAACAACTCAAAATGCAGAGAAAGTGCATCTTCGGATCGTGCATGGATGTGTGTGAACCGAGAACAGCGGCTTTATCACGCACATGTGTAAAAAATACGGGGTTATTGGTAAAAAGCATCTGATTTTTGTGTCGGTCCGGTTAACAGTGTATTTTAAGCTGTTTTAACCTTTTGCGCTTATCCAGAGTCATTGCCTGACACTTTGTACTTTTCCACGTTAGAGGGCCTGAAAGGGGCTGGAGGTGTCATTGATTAGCCCCGGTCCTCCGTTTAAAAAAAAAAAAACAAAAAAAAAACAAAACAGCAGCCTCCTCTCCTTATAGCGTCTGTAAAACGGTGTATTGTCTGCCTATGTAAAAAATGCTGTTGTAAAACGTGCATTCTCTGTTAAAACAAGTCCATCGTCATTCAGTTCTTATTTTGCACAAATAATAGTTAACTGATTTTCTATTGAAATCCGCCCCACTATTTGGAATAAGTGAAATTCGATTTCCAAAGCAGCCTGCATTGAGTGTTAAGTGTCAAGTAGCTGCTCAGCCAATTCAGGAAGTTCTTTCTGAGAACAGCTGTAGCCTGTGTTTAGGCTCCTCCTATACTGTACATTTGTTGTGGTAGCAGGAACTTTGGGTTAATGGTTGTAGGACTCACTTCTCACCCCCTGGGCTGTATGTTAGGGGATGCTGTTCAATGTGCAAATGTAGGCATTTTTCAGTGTAGGCAGTGTAAACAGCAACAGTTAAAAACTCAGCTGTGAAAAGGGAAAGTGATGTAACTTTAAGCTGTTGGATCTACAAATATGTATTCAGAATAATGGTTGTAATTTCTAGAGTACAATCCTCTTAAATTTGGATAGATAGAGAAAATATTAGTTTGTTTTGCGAGCTGCTTTTTGCCTCCACTCAGCCTCCTGATGGATAAGGGTGGAGGTTCTGGACTCCATAAGTGATGTGACTGTGTAAACGTCTCGGAAAGTGCCTACAGTTAGCAGTCCTGATGACTAGGATCCCTGATCCCTGTCCCACGCCTAGTCGCAGCCCTTATGTGACTTGATGCTCTGGTTTGCGTCAGTGCTTGCGTGTGTTTCCCTCGTGCGAATGCTGAAACGGCCGTCATGTTTTCGTCCCTTCCGTGCGCCCGCCTTAGACCTGTGTCTCTTCCCATCCGCTCGCTTCTGCCCTCAGCTCTTCTCACCCTCTCTGAGTTACGTGTTTCCTTTCACCGCTCTGCCTGGAGCAACTTTCACACAACCTTCTCCTACCGAGTCAACTGCTCTTCCTCCCCCATACACTGTAATGAATTTTCTCCATGGGCCACATTTGTAATACAATAGGTGTACCGTCACTATCTGTGTTACACTCTATAGAGTAATTTCAATGAGCCTCCATCAGCACACCTGCTTTGTTTCAAGGTTCCCAAAGAAAAATTGCAGCGTCAGGCAGACCGAAGGCATTGTGCATTTACTAATGTCCACAGATCTTCTCATTCCTGTTCCAGGTCTCTGCGCCTGTTTTCGCCCATGTGACAGCCCGTAATTGATGTGCACGGTCACAAACCCTTACGCATATTCTGCTGTGCCGGTATTAAGGAGTGTGGTCTGTAACAGGCCGCTTCGGCATTTGGTGATTAGACAGCGCCAAGTGGAAAGGAGTTACATTTCAATGAAGGCTTCCAATTTTGACATGGAGCAACAAGCAGAAATGACGCATCCTTTAAAAGCCGGACTTTCGATATGTTTAGTTGTTTTTTTGTCGTTTCAGCTCCATAATTGTATTTTCTGTTCATGAAATATTTGGTGAATGCAACACTTTTTGAAGTAGTATTGTGGAATACCACGATGGACTGGAATTTGTTGTTGAACACTGGTAACCTGTCAACTCTGCTTAGGAAGCTCTGGCTACCACGCGTCTGCTCGATCTCGCTCGCCCTCCATGCTGTGGCATCAGAGGGGTTTATTCACTGAAAATGTGTGTGTAATATAAGCCGCCGTTGTTGAACTCACTGAAGCTGTATTTTATGGCTTTGGGGGTGTGTAGCCTGTTTTCCTGGTCGCTGCCCGTATTTTGAGCGCACTGGTTTTTTCCTAGTACTCGGCATTAATCATAAAATTGCATAGTGTGGCTTAAATTACAGACGGGTGGCATTTTTATTTGTTTTTAGGTCTTTGGATGATTGGTCACGTTCCAGTCCAGTGTATCCGTGTGATCTGTTGTCATATGCAAAGTATTATTAAGCAGTCAAAGGAAGGAGAGCTGGCAGCCTCGTCGACGGCGGGTCGCGGTTCTGCGACAGCGGGCCGCTTATCGGGACCATGCAGGGTGTCTCTTCTCCCTCATTTACCTTAACAGATTCAGAAGCCGTCTGATTGTTTCTCAGGGTGGAAGTGGGGGTGGGGGGAGGTGTCTGTAATCCTGTGATTTTATTGCCAGCCCCTCCGTCTGAGCACATGAGCTTTGCAAATCTCAATCTTTTAGTTTGTCCAAGTTTGTTACCTTGTATTTTTAAGATGCTGTTTGGCTGGTTTGGGATACAAACACTTTCAAAGCTCTTGCTGAACCAGAGAGAAGTTCATGCTGCCCACTCCTGCCCCAAATATGGTTCTCATCGGAACAGAACCTCAAAAGAAACTCTTAACTATTTAAAATGTCAGGAAAAATAAGACTGATTACCCACGAAAGCAGGAAATAGCTCAATATAATGCTTTAGATCCAAAGGGGATCCTAATGACGTCACTATGCTGGCAGCCTGCCTTTGGGTGACCTTTATAGAGTTTCTGAGCTTCGCCTGGTGTGTGTGTGTGTGTCTGTCTGTCTGTCTGTCTCTGTGTGTCACTCGGTCAGTGAGCAGGGATGAGTATCGGAGGAGACTTTATGGAAACCAGAAGCAAAAGAACTAGTGGACGTTTGGCCCAGCTGCTGTGATCAGGCGGCAATCATCATAGTTTAACGGCTGCCGTGGAAGCATGTAAAGGCGATAAGGACTGAGGGTGTGGAATGTTCCCAGAATCCATTCTTAAGAATGAAGGATTCTGTCAGACAACTCATAGGAGAACTGGAAGTAACACTACATTGTTTTTACAGCAAACGGATAAAAAAGGAGTTATTTACTTTGATATTTTATAGTGGAGGATAAACTCAGAAATTTGACATTTTATTTATCGGATTATTTTTTCTTGGCAAAAGTGATGTCCAGTAGTTTTTGAGAAAGCAGGGTCAGCCGAAGCCATTTTTGCTGTGAGCTGGAATGGAGCAAAAACGTGGACTGTCTGAGGACCGGACTGGGAAACGCTTCCCTAGAGTAACTTAGGGGGGGTAAAAGTCTCGCTCAAGGGTCCAGTGGTGAAATCACTCTGCCGACAATGGGATTTAAACCAGCAACTTTCTGATAATGGCCACAATGTCCTCGCCCGTTGAGCCTCACAGCACTTCCAAGAATTCTTCATTTTAGGTGAATGTGTCTGATGTCACCAAAAGGTCAAAAGTCTGCGTCCCCACAGGAGGCACCAGTGGGTAATAGCAGCACAGTAGTAGCCCCTGATTGGTTAATTAGGTCTTCAGCCTGATGGATTAGGTGGGCAACCCTATCTATTGATACTCCATCCATTTTCTGTAACTACTTCTCCTATTCAGGGTCGGGGGGGGGTTATCCTGGAGGCCAAGGGCAGAAGGCAGGGAACAACCCAGCATGGGGTAGCAACCTATCACAGGACACACACACCCACCCCCCATGGGGAATTTGGCAACTCCAGACAGCTTCAGCATATTCTTGGACTCGGGGGAAACCGGAGTACCCAGAGGAAACCCCACATGGAACTCTGGTGGAGACTCGGTCCCAGAGTTGTGATATTACTCCGCTAACCACTGCACCACCGTGCCACTCCTCTATTGACACCCATCAGTATGAATTGTTTTTTGACGAATGGTGCCGTGCGGCCCGCAAACCCCCTTCCTCAGCCGCCCACTCGCCGTTGCTCTTTGTCAAATTAGTTGGGCACTCCTTCGTTAAATTTTCCAGTCTAGAAACTTCTCCAGTTCAGTTCCACCGAAATAGTGTTTTATTGACATAGTTGTATGATTACTGCAGCATTTCTCAAACACAAACCCACAAGTGAACAAATTCGCACTCAGCAGCTCTTGTTGTCACGCCCTTTCTCCCCACCATCACGCCAGCATCGTACCGTAAGCAAAATATGGCTGCACAAGCCGGGCCTTTGGGTTTGCAGTGTTATGCTGTCAACAGGTAACGCTGAAAGCATCTATTTCATACGCTCTACTTTGG